GATGAACACAGTGAAGAATGACAGTTGATGAACACAGTGAAGGTGACAGTTGATGAACACAGTGAAGAATGACAGTTGATGAACACAGTGAAGGTGATAGTTGATGAACACAGTGAAGAATGACAGTTGATGAACACAGTGAAGAATGACAGTTGATGAATACAGTGTAGAATGACAGTTGATGAATACTGTGAAGAATGACAGTTGATGAACACAGTGTAGAATGACAGTTGATGAATACAGTGTAGAATGACAGTTGATGAACACAGTGAAGAATGACAGTTGATGAACACAGTGAAGAATGACAGTTGATGAATACAGTGTAGAATGACAGTTGATGAATACTGTGAAGAATGACAGTTGATGAACACAGTGTAGAATGACAGTTGATGAACATAGTGAAGGATGACAGTTGATGAACACAGTGAAGAATGACAGTTGATGAACACAGTGAAGAATGACAGTTGATGAACACAGTGAAGAATGACAGTTGATGAATACAGTGTAGAATGACAGTTGATGAATACTGTGAAGAATGACAGTTGATGAACACAGTGTAGAATGACAGTTGATGAATACAGTGTAGAATGACAGTTGATGAGTACTGTGAAGAATGACAGTTGATGAACACAGTGAAGAATGACAGTTGATGAATACTGTAAAGGATGACAGTTGATGAACACGGTGCAGAATGACAGTTGATGAATACTGTGAAGGATGACTGTTGATGAATACTGTGAAGGATGACAGTTGACGAACACAGTGAATTGTGACAGTTGATGAATACTGTGAAGGGTGACTGTTGATGAATACTGTGAAGGGTATCAGTTGATGAATACTGTGAAGGGTGACTGTTGATGAATACTGTGAAGGGTATCAGTTGATGAATACTGTGAAGGGTGACTGTTGATGAATACTGTGAAGGATGACTGTTGATGAATACTGTGAAGGGTGACAGTTGATGAATACTGTGAAGGGTGACAGTTGATGAATACTGTGAAGGGTGACAGTTGATGAATACTGTGAAGGGTGACAGTTGATGAATACTGTGAAGGTTATCAGTTGATGAATACTGTGAAGGGTGACTGTTGATTAATACTGTGAAGGGTGACTGTTGATTAATACTGTGAAGGGTGACTGTTGATGAATACTGTGAAGGGTGACTGTTGATGAACACAGTGAAGGGTTACAGTTGACGAACACAGTGAAGAATGACTGTTCATGAACACAGTGAAGGGTGACAGTTGACGAACACAGTGAAGAATGACTGTTCATGAACACAGTGAAGGGTTTCGTTGATGAATACTGTGAAGGGTGACTGGGACGGATGGCAGGAGGTATGCGTTAAACAACAAACAAACGAAGCAAATGACACGGTGTATGATCTTGCTATTTAACACTTCCATTTCAGCCACCAAAAACGCCAGTGTGCTCTTATGGACCAGGATTATTCACCCTTACCTAACACATTGTCGTCCCTCAAGTGCAACGCTTGCGTGAATACCCGTACACTCTCTCCGGTCCCAGCCTAATGATTCCCGATCCTTGTGAAGCGCAGAGCAAGCTTTATGAGAATCTCAATAAAAGAATAAAGTCCAACTGCGCTCATTTCAAAACTAATTTTCCACCTTTCATCAAACTCACTCAGCGTGGGAAATATCCGCGTCAGTCCCTCCCCTTTTCCCCTCCCCGGGGTCCCCCTGAAGAGACGCGCCTCACAGCCCACCACGACAGCTGACAAGGCTCTCTCTCCACTGGCATCTCATGGCTGTCATAACTGTGTGCAACTAAGTTAATGTGTGGCTTGAAACATTGAAACGTTGAAACATTGCGGTATGAGTGAGTGAGTGAGTTTGGTTTTACGCCGCTTTTAGCAATATTCCAGCAATATCACGGCGGGGGACACCAGAAATGGGCTTCACACATTGTACCCATGTCGGGAATCGAACCCGGGGCTTCGGCGTGACGAGCGAACGCTTTAACCACTAGGCTACCCGACCGCCCCCATTGCGGTATGAAAACTATCAGCCATGTTAACTTGGCTGAACTAATAGCCAGTTTCTTTCTGACAGGACCAAAGACAGGTCTTTGAACTTCAAGGCCATGTTTGTGACCCACAAACTTTTTTTTACTATATGTTGTACTATTTTGACCTACATCTCCAGACAAATTCAACTTAGGCGAAAGACTTGCTCATGTTCTAATATTTGAAAAATGCTTCCTGAAAACCTCTGCCAACATAATTTTTTCATATAAATCTTGACTTGACTTGACTTGGTATTAATATACTATTGTGAATACATTAACAGCGTCAAAACACTTTACATAATCAAAAGAAATATGTTTGGTGAGTCCAAAGGCCAGCAAGTTGCACGGATTTCGCATCATACATTATTTCGTTTTCTGTACAAAGTACGACATTGTAATCTTGTTTCGTGTGCAGTTGCTAAAAAAATTTGTTGGGGGTAAATCCGTACATCCATTCAATTTATATTTTCAGGTATTTCGACTATGACGTGAAGCTCCCCCGACGCTGAGTGTTAGAGACAATGATGGTTGGACGGAAAGATGAAGGCAGTCACACTCCAAAAGACAAGAGGCGACATCTACCGGTCATCAGAGAAGATTCTGATGGGGATGAACATTCAGTAAATACTCCGGAAACTATCGAAGATCACCGACGAAGTGTTGATCCCTCTTCAGCATTGTCGAAGTTGAAAGAGACAACGGCGAGGTTAAAGCTGACAACGCGCAGAGCCAGCATTCTTGCCTGGCAAGCGGAACACATCGAGAAACCCAGGTTTCCACCGAAGGAAGTTCTACTGAATGAAAACGATGGGAAGTTGACTGACGACAGAAAGAAGCGGATCAACGACGCACTGGAGTGGCTCCGCAACGAGCTGGTTGGTGAACCCATTATTATTATTATTATTATTATTATTATTATTTACAGATTAAAATAAAAAATGCAACAAAGAGGGTTTGGGTGAACCTGGCACAGTAAGGCTGGTTAGGCTCATGATCAGCCCAGGGCCCTTGCTCCCTCTACACGCAGCCCAGACAGCGAATGGGACTTCTCCCAGGAAGCGCTACCTCGTCAAACCCACCCAGAATGTTTCAGAGAATGCGAAGACACCCCAACACTGCAGCCTTCTGCATTACCAAGATTGTCAGAAGGGCTGTATTCCTGGTAGCAAACCCGGGTACTCTCCCAATGTCAGTCAACAGATTGGAAGGTACCAAACCTAAAGCACCGAAAACAATGGGGAGTCGGACAACTTGGTACTAGGGATGCAAGCGTGACATTTCGAAAGCGAGGTCCGCATATTTGCCATTTTTTCCCTCAATCTTGTCAATCACATTAGTGTCAAAGGGGACAGAAAATGCAATGATATAAATGATTTCATTGGATTTATCAAAAAGGACAAGATCAGGTTTGTTGGCCTGGATACGTCTAAGGCTGTAAATGGGCCTATTACAAAAGAGTTTGTATTTATCATTTTCCATGACGCCCTCTACATATTTAGGGTTGTACCATGGGTTGACCTCTGTGTCAAAACCACAAGCATGGCGAAGACGGTAACAAAATGATCGAGCTACACCTTCATGTCGTTTAAGATACTGTGTTTGTGTCAAAGCTTGGCATCCGCTGACAATGTGTTGGACAGTCTCATTAAATTCATTGCATATTCTACATTTCATATTTACATTTTGATGCAAAATCACACATTGACGGTTTCGAGTTGGAAGTGACTGGTCCTGAGCAGCGAACAGAAAGCCTTCAATTTCACTTTTCAGGCCAGACGACTTCATCCAAGCGAAGGACTCTGCAGGATTGCTGATATTCTCAACACTACACATAAACTCGATACAGTGGTCGTTCAGAAAGCTCTCCTTAAAAACCTGAGTCTGGGCCGATTTGATATGGCACTTCGCTTGGTTGACACTCATTCCTGTACCGTCCAGCAGTACAGAACTATCAACTAAATCAACACCGACATTGAGATTATGTCCCACATCCTTGGCTCGTTTACTAAAACTGTGGAATGCTTTGTTTTCATCATGAGTTTTGACATTCTTCACAAGAGGATCATCAGACAAATAAATGTGTGCAAAAATGCACAAAACAATTCTATCATGAAGAACCCCAACGTTAATGAAACCACGTCCTCCCATAATGATTGGTAAATATAAGCGATTGAGGGATGGGCGATTGTCTGACATGATTCTTCGTGTGAGGGTGTCAATACCCTGAAACACCCAAAGAATACGAAAGGACGGGCACAGAACAAGTATTTATGGCGTTGATTTTATTGCGAGCGTTCTTTAGTCTACATTTGTACTCTGGGCATTTTGGAGTTTGTCCCTAATCTGCATCCCTAAGTACGTGTAGGCCTGACCTTCCACAAAATGGTCAATAACTCTCTCTCCAAGTAAACTGACTGATCCTCCCTCTTCTACCTTGCTACGTTTCAAATGAAGAATGTTGCATTTGTCGAGTCCAAAGGAAATGCCGATATCATTAGAAAAGGACTCGACAAGTAGAATTTTTTGGGAGTGTAGATCCGCCATTGGCAATAAGTTCAAGGTCATCCATGTAAAGGAGGTGAGTAAAGGGTGTTGGGGATCTGTGCTGAGGAGGTCCAGGATGATAACCTTCCTCTTTGCTCAGCGAAAAGGATTTAATGACAAACAGAAAAGCAAAGGACTGAAAGAATCGCCCTGAAATATTCCTCTTCCGATAGATATGGGTTCCGAAGTCACCACCTGCCCCTGCGAATACATCTCAAGTTGAGTTGATCAGCAATTCATTAAAGGCTTGAGTAAAACAAGTAGTAGCTCGGGGAGTTCAATATATTCCAGTGACTTCAAAATCCATTCGTGAGGTACAGAATCATAAGCTTTTCTGTAGTCTATCCAACACATTGAGAGGTTACGGTGGTAAGTTTTAGCCTCTTCAAGGATCATTTTCTGAACCAGCAATTGATCCTTACATCCCCAACATCCCTTTCCTACTCCTTTCTGCTCCATGTAGATAATGTCATTCGAAGCGCATTACGATGACACGAGATCTATTATTATTATTAATATTATTATTATTATATTTGAGATGTGTAGAGTGAACCTTGTGTACATTGAATACCCGCTAATCCGAGCGGTGCATTCACAGTAAAATCGCTGGGATTAACAAATTTCCTGTTTAGCGAATCATTGTTTGGGAGCACAGTCATTTAAATATTACGAGAGGTTCTTTACGGGGTTCTGGATGAAGGGGGTTCGGTGTAGAGGGATGCCACTGTATGTCCAGATCAGCAAGAACGTTTTGCTTATAACTTGTGACGTCTCAAACTAATGTTTTCAGATTAGGTTCGCCGGCGTAAATGTGTTACATCAAATGTGTGATTTGAGACCTGTTTTTCGGTTAAGTGAATAAAAAGTGCAATTGCTCAGTAACGCCCAATTATCTGAATCCAATCAGTTATGAATGTCTCGGTAATGCCAAGTCATCTGAATGCAATCATTCTGATTTTGTGCTTTAATGTCACAGGAGGAGATGCGCACACAGGACCAAACACTCGCAAGACAGTTTCTGACTATCAAACAAGACATTGCGCAGGTGAAACTGCGCAGAAGTTGTGAAGAGCATCAGGAGATGTTAGAAGACGTCCAATCAGAGCTCGAGGAGCTAAATGAGATGTCGGATGTCCTTGACCTTCCCGTGTCGTCATTGAGTGACACTCCATTAAAACAACTCGGCATCACAAGGATGAACATGTCTCGCCGGAGGTTCTCCATGTGCTGAGGTCACGTGACATTACCCAGTGCTTAGACAGCAGCTCAACGCACTAAAGACTCGGGTACTGTTCTGCACATGTGTACAATGTGTGAATCCTATACCCCCATGATATTGCCGCAATGGAGGCCAAACCTGCGGACAGGATCACCCACCATCTCCCAGAACACGCGCACCGGACATCGGGCTGTCATGTAGAACACCAGGAACGCCCGGTGTCAGAGCGCATGTCGTAACACATATTTTAAAAAGAACGCCAGTGACCAGGATGGCCTTGACCTTGAGCCAATACTACACATCAAGAACGTACTTTGTATTCAGTTTCTTTCATCCTCCTATTTATAAAGTAGACACAATTTATAGATAACAACTTCTTTAATACTGTTTCGGTATAGATCCTTTTACCGTTGTCATGCTGAAGACTGAAATATTTCTAACACAACTGGAGGCTTTCGTCCAATCGAAGACCGCTATTTGTACATGTGGAGTACTCTTATCTAATGAGCGATCGCTATTTGATCAGGACCTTCGTCCTACAATAGCTCCTGTGCATAACATGAGTGTCCCAATACACGAACTGCAGAAGTTAGTGCAGAGGCAGTGCGCTGCACGTACATGACACACAGAACGTGATATTTATTTAGATAGAAATGAAGTGTTGCACGAAACAAATACTGTTCAATTGATACGTTTATATCCTGACACTGCAATGTCACACAACATGGTTCACATGCCCCAAGCTAAAACGAAGTAACCCTTTTTGAAAAACAGCCTTGTTCATACGTCTCCCGTTTACAGCCCAGTAAGCTATTCAGTGTAAACTTAATAACAAACTGATATCATGCCACTTGTTGGAAATATGTTTTTTGTTAATCATTTTTAATATCCAGTTGTGTCTTTCACATGCTCACTATACTTATCCGAATTAGCACTGAACACTGAACAAACACAACACAAATTAAGGTGATTATTCTGACATATTCAGGTTCACAACTTATGAAATGCTATTTCACCCACCAACGAGTGAGTGAGTTGGGTTTAACGCCGCTTTTAACGGTATACCAGTTATATCACGGCGTGTCAGCTTAATGTGGGAGGAAAGCCCGAAGTGATGCAGGTCTCAGACGTTAACCACTTCGGTGAAACCAACGAGCACAGGTAAGGTGCTGACAAACCTAGAAACATAATCGGGCGAACCGAGGTTTCTGGCGTGCCCAAGGGACGCAACTCTGCACAGCGATTCGCGGCGCCTTAGACGACTGGGCCAAACGTGCCCCTAGTTTCACACGAAGAAAATATATATTATGATACTAAAATCACTTTTGATTTGTATGAAGTATCTCATGAACATAATGAAGTGAATTTGATTCATTTATCATGTAAAGTTCATTCAGTTAGCTTGAATTTATGCATTACAATGGAAATGTCAAATAGCTATTTTATCAAATTAAGCAAGGGGACAAAGCCCGTTCCATAGTCAATGTGTGAATGTGTGAAGCCCATTTCTGGTGTCCTCGCCGTGATAGTGCTGGAATATAATAAGCGGCGTAAAACCATACTCACTCCCTCACTCACTTTAGAGTCACTATCCAATAACGATGACTCCAAAAGTTCACAATAAGGTGAAGGAAATTGGCTATTTGACTGTTATTGTACGATATTAGATCATTGATGTACCTAAAGTTTATTTTAAACTTCTTGGCTACATTCCTGTGTTTTGCCAATCCTAGCAGAAATACCATTTTATATACACACAGAAACATCAGCAGGGAGGGGGCACATCAGGAGCCCATAGAGATGTTTACTTCTGCCTAAATGCCCTATGCCCAAATTTCACAAGGATGTTATTTGTGAGGACGTTTATATATTGCCTTCTCGGTAAACATAGCTTGCCAAACTGTCCCCAATCTCAGATAGATACGACCCGTGAAGATCCCGGTTAGAATTGGTCTCCAGTGAGCCATGCTTGTTGTAAGAGGCGACTATGCTTATTGTAAACGGCGACTAACGGGATCGAGTGCTCTGGCTATCTGTCTTGGTTGATGTATGTCATTGTATCTCAATTGTGTAGATCGATGCGCATGATGTCTATCAGTGGATGCCTGGTCCAGACATCGATTATTTACAAGCAACCGTCATATAGCTGGAATATTGCTGAGTGCGCCGTTAAACACCAAAGAAACAAACAAATAAAGATAGCTAGCTAGAGTATCTCTGGTCCCCACCTGGTGTGACGAATGCCGCATGAATCAGGGAATGAAGTTTCCCCTCAGGTTTGTCGGTTGATTTTAAATTGCAAAATATAAACAAAAATTCTTCTTCAGTTTACATACTATCCTTTAATGTGGAACTTTTTGATATGTCACTTAAACCAAGTTCTTTGATCGAACAATTTATGTGGTGATGCTTACGTATAATGGTTTAGGTTATTTGAGGTCTTGTCAGTGCGAACAACTACAAACTTTTCATGTAGGCAGCCCGACTTTGCATGTAGGTCAGCCAGACTTTGCATGTAGGGCAGCAAGACTTTGCATGTAGGTCAGCCAGACTTTGCATGTAGGTCAGCCAGACTTTGCATGTAGGGCAGCCAGACTTTGCATGTAGGTCAGCAAGACTTTGCATGTAGGTCAGCCAGACTTTGCATGTAGGTCAGCCAGACTTTGCATGTAGGTCAGCCAGACTTTGCATGTAGGTCAGCAAGACTTTGCATGTAGGGCAGCCAGACTTTGCATGTAGGTCAGCCAGACTTTGCATGTAGGTCAGCCAGACTTTGCATGTAGGTCAGCCAGACTTTGCATGTAGGGCAGCCAGACTTTGCATGTAGGTCAGCAAGACTTTGTATGTAGGTCAGCCAGACTTTGCATGTAGGTCAGCCAGACTTTGCATGTAGGTCAGCAAGACTTTGTATGTAGGGCAGCCAGACTTTCCATGTAGGTCAGCCAGACTTTGTATGTAGGGCAGCCAGACTTTGTATGTAGGGCAGCCAGACTTTGTATGTAGGGCAGCCAGACTTTGTATGTAGGGCAGCCAGACTTTGTATGTAGGGCAGCCAGACTTTGCATGTAGGTCAGCAAGACTTTGTATGTAGGTCAGCAAGACTTTGCATGTAGGTCAGCCAGACTTTGCATGTAGGTCAGCAAGACTTTGTATGTAGGGCAGCCAGACTTTGCATGTAGGGCAGCAAGACTTTGCATGTAGGTCAGCCAGACTTTGCATGTAGGTCAGCAAGACTTTGTATGTAGGGCAGCCAGACTTTGCATGTAGGGCAGCCAGACTTTCCATGTAGGTCAGCCAGACTTTGTATGTAGGGCAGCCAGACTTTGCATGTAGGTCAGCAAGACTTTCCATGTAGGGCAGCCAGACTTTGCATGTAGGGCAGCCAGACTTTGTATGTAGGGCAGCCAGACTTTGTATGTAGGTCAGCCAGACTTTCCATGTAGGGCAGCCAGACTTTGTATGTAGGGCAGCCAGACTTTGCATGTAGGTCAGCAAGACTTTGCATGTAGGTCAGCCACTGAATATCACTGAACACACGTGGGCGTCTTTACCAAGGTATTTTGTATACATTGCATATTCCATATTGCGGGTATATTTTAACTACATCTGTCACAGGTTTAGAGTGCTGCTGTACATACTCCCAGGATACATGGTTGTGTTGATGAGTAGGGTGAGATATTAATAGCCGGCAGCGCAGTTCGTCAACTGCGAGGAATATTTCCTGTAATATGATTTCAGATATGGTCAAGAATGTTTTCAACTGATCTATCTATATAGTGAGTACCCATGTTTTACAGTGAATCCTTTGTTCTACAAAGCTGTGATCACAGTATGGCAATATCACTGATCTGGTTGATGCATGTCATCGTATCCCAATTGCGTGGATCGATGCTCATGATGTCACTCACTGAATTTTCTGGTCCAGACTCGATTATTTACAGACCGCCGTCATGTAGCGGGGAAATTGCTGAGTGCGGCGTTAAACAACAAACAAACAAACAAACAAACAAAATATGACTCAATGTTTCTTTTCTCTCAACCGAACTGTTATTGCTACTGATCCCTGGCAAGCTTCCAATACACTTATCTGACATGTGACTACTTATGTCGACTGGTTTTGACCACACAGATAGAATAAACATCACCATACGACTGTCAAATGCCGATGTGACTTTGCATGATAACTCTCTAACTGGCCGTTACAACTCCCCTATCAGAAATACACGCAGGGTCCAAAATAATACATTAACACACGTTGGCATGGAGACTCCTCGACACTGTTGCTGGAAAACGGCGGATCTGTGTGATTATTTTACATTTGTTTCATTAACCTCTGTTCTGACCTGAGTGACCTTCAAACTGTGCCGTGTGGAAGGTGAGTGAGTATGGTTTTACGCCGCTTTTAGCTATATTCCAGTAATATCACGGCGAGTGACACCAGAAATGGGCTTCACACAATGTACCCATGTCGGGAATCGAACCAGGGTCTTCGGCGTGACGAGCGAACGCTTTAACCACTAGGCTACCCCACCGCCCATGTAGAAGGTGACAATCCCGGGGAGGTGTAGACGTCATTCATTCCCATACTGTCCTACGCCTGCGCCTACATTTCACTTGTGGAGCCACCCGTTCTAGTACCTGTAGTGTATCGGTCGACGCACCAAGGGTGGGTGAATACGTTGAGCTATTATAATCACATCATGGGTTTCACGCAATGTACCCATGTTGGGAATCGAACCCGGGGGTTTGGGACAAAACAAAGAAAATGCTATTTTAGCAAGAAGTTTAACTTTAGCTTCAGGTATATCGATGATCTGATACCGTTCAATAACCACCAAATAGCCAATTCCCATCCTCTGATTTACCCACCTGAACTAGAAATAGAGGAGATCTCATCTGTTCCCTATTCAGTCTCCGCGCCACTGTATGACAAGAGCGTCATGCGACTCTCGCTCAAAACGTTGTTCGATCAAGGGTACAATAAAATGTTTTATAATGGACATATGGAGGATATTTCCAAATTTGACGCATCAATGACAAAAATGATGTCCGATGCAGATCCCTATTTTTTCGGGTGAACAATTGACTTACCTTTGTATGTGTTTGTGGCGGGTGCCACTGGTCGGGCAGGGGACGCTCATCTTCTTGCGAACACCTCCTTGATAGTGATTCATAAAGACATGCTCATCATACAGTCGGAATCGTACAATCGTCTTCAGTAGAGATTGGCTATTGGCTATTGGCTATGATAAGGGTTTTGTGGCTCTTCATCACACGACTCACGCCTAGACAGTAAGGACATACCGGTCACGTAATCCATCAACCTGACTGAGTGAGTGAGTTAGTTATGTTTTACACCGCTTTTAGAAATATTATTGTATTATCACACTGTGAGACACCAGAAACTGGGTTCACATTGTGTGACCCCGAGCTACAGCTCCTTCCAGCAACATAAAGGGGTAGCATCTGATACGCAAGGTGACGAAACACAATGCTACGTAACAAAATGCAGATTATTGCCAACAGAATGTGTTAAGATTGTGTCCAGTTGCTAACTACTAAGTCGTCAACCGCAAACAAACATCACGATGAAGGCAATATTCCAAGGCATTAACAGTTAAATCCAATATAATCGCCCGAAAGGATGACGCTTATGCTCAAGTCCAAAGGGAAGATCATAAAGATGTATTGGGTGAGTGAGTGGGTGTTACCCGTCCCCCATCGTCCCTAAGAACAAGTGAGAAACTGATACCAGCAACACAGACACAGAAACTTCGCGTCACCCATTGGCTGGACATGAGTATGTAGCAGCTGGAGTCCAGCACTCCCCGTCGCTGGTGTTCTGCCTCCACCCTACAACT